AGTGCCAAGTCTTTATTTTTACATCAATACTGAAAGAACAGACTTGGCTGCTAAATACTGAGTGTTCATATAACTGGAGTGAAGCTCTCAGAAACCATCGCAGGTGTATGAGAGACTGAAAAAAACAACAAAAAAACGGTTACATTTTTAAATAGGCACACAGAGAAGAGCTAGAAAAAAGTAATCTTGTGGACTGATGGAAAATCAAGCATTTATTGCTTGGAGGTGTACCATCTGCCAGTAAAACTGGCACACTATCTACAGATACCACAAGTGCTTCCAAACTCACTGGCATTTTATCATTCAGCAGGACGATGACCCAAGTGGCAACCACTGTTGATGATTAGAATCTGTCACCTTAGTCTCAGTGCAACATGCATTCCCACAGTCTGAACACCAACCATGCAGGACAGGCAGAGATATCCCACAATAAAGAATGACCTAAAGGCCTGTGCAGCTGAGGCCTAAAAGAACATCAAAAGGGAAAATGCAAAGACTTAGTTATGTCTGTTGGTTAAAGACCTCAGCATTGTTGTTCCAAGGTGTGTCCTTACAGTGTGAAGCCCACACGTTTTTTCTCTTTATGTTAAACATCACAACAGAATAGTCTAGGGCAACGTCAAAGCAGGGATGTCAAACTCATTTTACATTGTGGGCCACATACAACCCAGTTTGATCTGAAGAGTGAAAGACCAGTGAAAAATATTTAAATTATGAGTCCTTAAGATGTGTTAATATAAGAAAAAGAATTGCAATTTCAACAGTACCTATCAGTTTTTTGATATAATAAATGTATACAATTACAGAAAAGGGTACCTCATTGCCCAGGCTGTCCTGTATTTATACAGTAAAGCATAAAGTTTTTGGTTCATTTACATTTGGTTTACTGTGGACCCACTGTAAAGAATTAAAATTTAAAAAATCTACAATACATGCATTTAATCTTTTACTTATCTACTTTGGTGTAGTGTGAATGGCAATGGGGGAGGGCTTTATGAATAGAAAAGCTGTAAAACGTATGAAAATACAGTTAAAAGTTCAAAATATGTGCAGTTCTTCAGCTCTTCTTCTAATATTCTTCATAGTCCCCAGGACTTATGTTTGGTACCCCTGGTCTATATAGACCAGTGCACTTAAAATTAAATATATGGTGAAAGTGAGTAAAATATTAAACACCAGTTCCTACATCAACAGTGGAGAGCTGAATCTTGGATGCCTGCTTTCTAAGCAGTGTTTCAGATAAAATGCCAAATCTGAGACTAACCGAGGAAAAAATAACATAGGCCTATATATATTTTAAACTTAAGGAAACAATAAAGTTGAGCAAAAGAAAACCGACAACAGTCAGAAAAATATTATTTCAAAAATGTGGTTTGGAAAGATGAATCTAAATTTGATGTTTGAGTATATTTGAGAACAAACAAAAAAACCAAAACAGGATATCTGTGGAAAAATAGTCTGGATATTTACAGTCTGGGCTAATGTAACATACATGCATGTCTACATATCATGAATAATTTAGCAAATACCAAAAGTTTAGCTTTGTAACTCCAAATGCTTTGTTTGACTGTGTTCGTACATGCATGTGTGTGCAACAAGACAATAAGACAGACAAAAATTCATTCCTATGAAAAATGGGAGTATTTGATATACACAAAAAGTCAGTTTAAAGGTTATGGCAAGTTTTGAGCTGCAACAGCAGACTGATGAGGGGATTAAATAATTAAAAAGAGGCACTTCCTGTCTCGACTGAATCTCGGCTTCTGTACCCAGGTAAAGCAGCTATTTGTGTGTTAAACTCAAAGGCAAATTATTATTTTATGCCTCCCTACAGACAATGCTAAAAACACTTCACTTGAACACAGATTTTGATGTATCAGTAACGAAGTCCAGTTTTCACAAAAAAATAAGTAAACTGTCAGACATCCTTATAACAGAGTATTTTAACAATTAAAAGTTACTTTTTTGTATTTTTTCCCTTCAGTAACTTTAAGACATCTGACCATAGAATAGACATTAAGCCGGGGCGCTAAAGCAGACAGTAATATGATTTGCTGTGATGCCAGCAGCTACTGAAAATGGCAATAATGGGCACCCTGGGATGAGAATGCATTGAAACCGAAATGGTTTTGATTGTAAGCTATTCCGTTCTTTAAATGTCATTTCTTTACTTTGTAAAAGTGAGAATGCAGATGTCATTGTTCTTATAAATCAATGAACATGTATAAATGAAGGAATTTTGCCTGTGTGCATCGAGGCTGGTGCAAGCTGTGTGTGTGTCCTTAGACAAAAAACAGGTGGCTGTCAGGTTTTGTCTCCAATAAAATCTCACAAATCTTCCCATGTGAGGTGTAATCAATGTCTGTTTGTGTGAGAGAGAGAAATAAACTATAGGTGAATTTGGCTGGCAGGTGAAGGGGTCAGTGAAGTTTGCAGCACTGCTTTGGCTGATAGTCATAGGAAGGCAGATGGACAGGTTGGCAGAGCGATAGACAGGCCGACGGTTGCGCAGTGATGCTGACAGAGAAAGAAGACAGACAGGTGGGCAGAACAGCAGGACAGGTGAAGGAAATGGTCACAAAAGCAGACAAGCAAAGCGAACAGAGGAACACGGATGAATATTCAACCAGGCAGGGGGTCAGACGGATATTCAGACAGGGACAAAAGAGAGGGCAGGCTTTAAGGTGTACCAACTAGACGAGAGGAGAGGCATATGAAATCAGATGTGTTTGCAAGCAGAAAGACAGAAAGGTGGCTGGTAGGTACAAATAAAAAGACAGAAATGGGATGTTAGATAAAGAAAGCCAAAGTGAAACAAAAGAGTAAAGTCAAAAGAGTGTAGTGGAAGCAATTTTACCATTTCGCGTGTTTTAGGTTACGTTTTCGTCTGGTGTCAGGTAACTTTAATATAAATGATAGTATAATAATAAAAGTCATGCTCAATATGACTAATTGAGTGCAACATTTATTGTAATGTAACACTTTCATTTTTGATCTTCAGTAGGCAGTAGTAAAGTAAGAATTTTTTTTATATAGTGCTTTTCAAAACAGTGATCTATTACAAAGTGCTTTACAAACATGTTAAAAATACAGTTGAATGAAAATATCTTAATCACAAAAAAACAGCATAATACACAAAAGCATTATAATAAAGCATGATCTTGAGGAAAGCTACTATTCCATTTCAAAATGCCAATCCACACCCTGTGGCTGTTGCATTACTGAAGCAAATTTCCTCCTATAACAATGATCTAAAGTACAGCTTGAAACTATGCAAGACTTATTTAGCAAAGAATTTGTCATCTGGTTTTCTGTGTATAGTGGCACAGAAATCAGACCTCGGGGTATTTAAGTTGTTGTGAGAACAGTTTGATTAAAGGGTATATAAGTGCCCATTAAATCAATTAACACTGTGGGAGGATCTTCAGGAAGCATGTCGCCACATTATCTCATCAAACTGACAGCTACAGTGTAAATGTATAAAAGGCAGTGGATACTGCAAATGGACCATTCTTGGATGAAAGCAAAGTTTGGGTTACAAAAATGGTTATTTTAAATAAAAGTTATCATTTCTATCCTGTCTGTGGCTTGACCACATTTTCTATTATCTCTCAGATTGGATTACTAAAAGTATGAAATTTTAAAAAATACAATTAAAAGTAATAGGGCACTGTGAAAGTGTGGGCCTCTGGAGACTAAGCAAAGTGTGTTGTTGTTTGCATATGACCAGGCCAACCCTGATCACTAGTGGACCACACAATAGTCTTTTGATGTGTGGCAGTTGTTTAATACTTTGGAAATATTCCTTCCAAACAGAATGATCATACTGTCTCAAAAAATGAGGCATTTCCTCGAGTCAGGTGAGGATACCAGGCTACAATATGAAAGTGCTGAAAACATATTTTCAGTATTTATATACAAGTGGGAATTTCCACCAGTAAGCCAAATTTAAATGGCATGTGGAGGTAATCTTCAATATTTATGTGATTGACCTATTTTTTCATCAAGACCTGGAATAAGAATGAACACTGTGAAGCCCTTTTGAAAAGAGCTATGCAGCATATGGTGGCCTGGTATCCCACTTCAACACGCAGTGCAAGACAGGCTTAATTCTCACCTTGAATATGTCTCTTGATGTAATTTTCTTTCTGTTTTCCCTCCATCTGTTTTTTCATCTTCTTCAATAGCCTTGATTCTTTAAAGACGCAGCAACTGAAGCACCATCTTATATCACCTCACATTCTATTTCCATTTACCTGTTCTTCTCCTCTCTCACTCCTCTGCTCTTCTTCCCCACTTACCATTCTCCTCTCCTCACTTTTCATCTCTTATCCACGGTTCCCTCCTAAGCCTTTTCCCCCCTCACCATAACCTCTGCTTCTCTCTCCTCCTACCTACCATTAGTCACCACCTCCCGCTCCTCTCCTGTCAAAATTTCTCTTCCCCGACTCTCTCCCTGTTTCAGTCCTTTCCTGTAAGGTCAGCCCATATTGGATCGATCAGGGTCATCTATCTTCCAGTATCTCAGTGGGCGTGCCTCCTATTTCAAAAGTGATCATTAGCCAATCATTAATCTAGATCAGACCATCAGACCATTAACCAATCGTTAATCTGGATCCTGTTTAAACTCGGCCTGCTGATTGGGTCCCGGGTGACCTCTGACATGTGACTTACCAAAGAAACACATCCGTTAAACAATGTATGATTGGGTGTCCTCATACATAAAACAGGTAGCTGTCTGGTTTTGTCTCCAGTAAAATCTCACAAATCTTCCCACATGACACATAATCAATGTGCTGTATTTTTTTTTTTTTTGACATGTCGGGATTATGAATAAATGACACCAGTACCATGCCAATGACCATGTCCGCATTTCTTTCGCACTGACACTGTGAAAAGTGAGGGGTGGCTGGGTTGTAAAGTAAACATGGGGTTAAATCTCCTTGGAATGTGCGCAGAAAGACCACGCTCTGGTGCCAGTGGTCTCACCAACACAGAGGCTGACTCGAGCCAAGCAGCGCGTGCGCTCTGGAAAGCTTCTACTTGGGTGTCTTTTGTTTTTCTGGGTGTTTTTTTAAAAAGGGGGAAACGTTTAAAAAAAACAGCTGCCTTTGCCCCTGCCTTGTGGATGATAATGGGATGATTTTCCTTTGACTCCATTAAGCTATCAGACTTTTCCAGAGGTGGATTTCACTGCTTTGGAATGTGTTTGATGCGCATTAACCTTTTTCGACCTAGGCAGGGCTTGCCTACACACTCTGCTGCATTTTCTTTTCTGCCTGTGGAATATGTGGAAATGTTGCCGTTTGTTTCCACGACATGTTTAGTAATCCGAGGCTTGAATGATGAAAATCTTTTGAGATGAAAAACAGCACTTTTGGGGATCATTTTTTGCTTGTGCGCGGCTCGTGCCTAATCTCGCGCCTCAGCAGCCTGTTGTCTGTGTCCGAGGGAAAACGCACAACTTTACCACGAGCTGGAACCGGTCCTGTTGCGGGGGCTACCGCTGGTCTGTGCGGCACACCGGGGCCACAGGCAGGGGGCCAAGACGCAGACCAACGGAGCGGTCCCGGTGTTCAGCCGCTGTGTGGTTGGACCGGGCATCCGGAGGAGCTGTGGAGCGGGGATGATGAAGTCGGTGGGGATGGTGATGATGAGTGGCCCGGCAGCGCGACCAGGCACCAGGGTCTTGCCACTAATATGTTTAGTGTTGTGCGCTCTCATCTTTCTTCCGATTTGCGCTCACTCGCACCCGCAACCGTGCCAAGTGCTCAAACGAATCGGCCACACGGTTCGGATAGGAGCTCTGCACGTTCAGCCTCGCTTGCTCTCTGCTATGGCTGTCAGCGGCTCTGAGGACTGGGGAGACGAAAGAGAGTTGACAGAAGAGCAGCAGTTGGAGTTGGAAAGACCGTTTAAAACAAGTGCCAGTGCGCCTGGGTATGGTAGCCTTAGGACTAGAGCGTCCGTTAACAGTCAGCGTGGCGCAAACAGGAGTAAAAGCCAGGCACGCCAACGGGAGGAGAACACCTCGGCGGAAAATCGCGTGTTCGCACCCCGAGACTCGGTTCTGCTTGCCGTCGAGGCTCTGAACCGGGCTGGGTTGCTACCCTACAATTTATCCTTGGAGATTGTCATGGCTGTTGGATCCACACTCGGAGAACTGCCCGCGTTCTCCTTTTCCTCTACGGGCAACCCCGAAAACGAGGACCCGCTGTCCTTCGTGGAGAGTGTATGTCACACCGTGGTTGTGCAGGGGGTTTCTGCCATGATCGCCTTTCCACGGAACAGGGACGAGTTCGTCAAGTTGGAATTCGTCTCACTCGCGCTTCAGGTACCTGTAGTCAGCGTTGTGCAGAGGGAGTTCTCGCGCCACAGTAAGGTAAAAAGTTATTTCCTAGCTAAATTTGAACTGTTAACTGTTGATTGCTTCACTTCGGCATACAACTGCAATGTGGTGTGTCTGCACTGGTGTGACGTGTTATAGTAATATAACGCAAGAAACTTTACATCGCAGTCTGACAACCTCTTTAAAGTGCGTGTACACCATGCACCGAATGCATGTAATTTATTTAACTAATTTAAATACGTGTGGATACAGACTACAGTGCACCGCGAGCCATCAGTGGCCATCATTTAAGCCAGGGACTAGAGCTAGAAACGCCTCCTTCAGTGGCTGATTGTTGATGTCCCTTCAACAAGAGCACAGATCTTCCCGTTCTTGTTCAGCGTTTACCCAGTCAATCAAACTTAAATGGCACAATTTAAGGTGAAATGGCACAAGCTGGCTTTCATAACTCTGAAAAAAAAGTTTCATTAAACAGTCAAAGACAAAAGGAGCATGGGGGAAAGCCGCTCTGTCCATGGTGCTGAAATCTACTGAATTTAAAGGGTGTTTCAGCAGAAAAAAGAGCAGTGCTTCTCTTCTGCAGAATAAAATGTTTAAAAATGGTTTGATTGACAGTGTGCAGTCAACAACAGTGTGCACCTAGCAGCACATGCCCCGCGGTATAGATACATAAACAAATACTTTGTTGATATTCAGAATCCCACTATGTCTGCACTGTGGTGAAGGAGGTTATGGCAGTATATTGCAGTCAAAACTCTTAGTCATAAGTCAGTGTGATGCTATATTTTGACATCTCATTTGCTGGACAACGGAGGTAAAGGCGGACAACACTCTTTAGTTAAATCACTGTGTTGGCATGTACATTTATGACCTAACACCTTTCCCTTTAACAAAGAAGTAAAAGGTTGCTCTTTAGCCACCCAGCTACTAATATTTAGCAGGCCCATATCTAATAATGAGATTAGTGTCAGAAAACTGTAGCATACAAGAAAAACCCATTCATGCAGAACCGTTTTAAGCTGCATGACACTCCTCTCATCGGACCAGTTCAAAAGGTGAATCCACATAATAAACCATGGAGGAGATTTTGAGTGTATTTCGGTGGTTTTACAGTGAGGCTAAAACTTTGCTTCATTTTTTTACATTATACCACTGGCAATACCTTGAGTACAGTTCCTTGTGTATACCATATGGAGTCCAGACTTGGCAGGAAACCATTACATCACTATATAAACTAAAGTTTGCAGTGGTGTTCTGATTTTTTTTTTCCATATACCAATATACACTCCTTATTATTATTATAAATAATAAGGAACTTTAATCCTTCAGTACAAGTAAACATTTCTTTTGGCACAAACATGGATTCTTTTGTAATTGTAATTCTTTATTTACTCAGACTTACGTATATGAGTCAAAAGTGCTCAATATATGAGCACTGTATATATCTATATAAACACTATAGATTCTTGTCAGGGCTTTTGGAAAATAAAACAATACCCTGAAACCAGTATAAAATGATATGGATTTTTATTCTGATTTATGTCAATTTTTAACAGTTAAGGCAAAAGCAGCAGCAGTTCTTACGTTGGAGATTGTTGAAAAATAAACTTTTGCACAACACATCAGTGCGAAGCTTGCTGGTGGAGTTTGCAGCTAAAATGAGAGCAAAGGGGAAACTAGTTAGTAATGTAAATACTATATTCATTAGCGTGGAGGGGCATCAGTAATAATTCTGTGGAAAAAACACCTGCTGTGAGTTTGCCCCCTTATTTGTTTGTGCTATCGAGCACAAGAAGGAATAGGCACACGCACATTCCCAAAAATGATTTGGTGTAATACACTGTAAACCTCTTTAATTGGGTGATGCTACAAAGAAGAGATATTGCACATCAGTGAGAGAAAGCCAACAATCTGCATGTGTTTCTGTATTTGTAATATTCTACACACAAACATCCAAAGGAGGGACAAAGAATGTGTTTTTTTCATGCACACATCCAAACCCATTAGCTGGACTGAAGGGTTCTGGGATACTTGCCACCTACTAGGGTATAGTAATGTGTGTGTGTGGCTTTGTCAGACAGTTTGTGTCTGTTTATGTGTTGGTGTATATGTGTACGTAAGAATGTGTGCGTGTTTCTAGGATAATATCTAATTTCCTGCTCTGTGCACAAGGAAGGGTTTCTCTGTAAGGAGTCAGCAGGTGTTTAAAGTCAAAACTGATTCCTAGAAGTGAAATAACAGTAATGGATACAGCTGACAAACCAAAAGTTAAGGATGATTGATTGATAGAGGAGTAGATGGGAAAACTGTTGAATGGAAGGATGAACATGTGCAAAAAAATTGACTAGGAAATAGTGTGTGCAGTGCTTGTGTGAGACTTTTAGAGAAATGGCTTAACTCCCTTCTGACTCAATCTAGTTTCACTGGCAAATCCCAACTGCAGGCTGACAGCAATTTCTCTAAAACATTTTTTGAGTGTGAAAAGTGCAAAAACTTTTTGGATGTCTTGAGATGATCTCATTAGTGTTTATTTCCTCACTTTGTTTGACCTTGAGTTTTTATTTTATCCTGGAATGTTTAAAGTCAAAGTTTAAAGACAAGGTTCACAGCTGAACATTTGTGTAATAGAATGAATCATCAAAAAAAAAAAAATTTTGATAACGTGATCTGCCCACAGTATGTTATGTAAGTGTCAGAATGATGAAGCTGCATGAGAATATGGAGATTATGGAGCAAAGGATAAAGTGACCTCAGAGTAAAGGAACTGGGCTGGGAGTTGTGGTGAGTGGTTTTGATAGCAGGAAAGGGATGAGAATTTAGCATATAAAAGCCAAAGAACTGAGGAACTCTTGGCAAAAGGAAGCTCTCTGGGAAAGACCAGTCATCTCAGATAGGAGGACTTAGTTTTAAAGTGGAAATATATCCCATGCTGACCCAGAGACTGTGGAAAGATAGCTACATACGCACATATATACAGAAAGACAGAGCATCTTCACATTGCTACTTATTCCAGTTATGTGTCAGCACTAACTGTATGCGAAAAATCAACATTGCTACCATAGGGTATGCGCTAATATCATGATGTATGTGCAATATATACCATATAAACACTTTATTAGGTATACTGCTCCAATGTAATCAGACCTACAGAAAACATGTAATAAATTCTGTCTATACTGAGCAGCCTTTCCACATAGTGTCATGCAAATGGTCATTCAGTTTGAGCAGTCGACTTGCAATCTTTGAAACATCCAGCAATCTAACAGTATATGTGGTATAAAAAAGTATAATAGGCCCATGTTAAGTACTAAGTTTAATATATGTGCAAGAATGCCTTTGGATCCAAAGGTTTGAGCTTTAGACTGCTCTTAATCCTTAGTTTCCATCATGATGTCAAGAGAGTGGGTATCATTTACGCGATCATCTTAGCCACACAGCTCTAGCTGTGATCAGTGCAGTATCTCCCACGCAGTGTTCAAACCTGTTTGCGAGGGCCATCCAATCAGAAGAGACTTGGCTTCAAGGCGAGGCTGGCCTTGAAGGGAGACAGAGGATGAACTGAGGGTGCAGATAGATAAGGATTATTTTGAACTGTGGATCCTCCACAGCTTTTCTAGTGGAATACAAAAATAAAAAATATGAAACTGGTACTGAGCGTAATAGGTCTTCCATAACAATTCAGTTGTTCTGCAATGCATTCATTTAACTAAATTGGTTAACTAACGATTGTATTACAATAACAAATGGTAGATGGTTATTGATTTTTCTTTGATTAGATGATTCATTGTATTAAGAACAATAACTAAGTCATTACTGGATTTGTCCACTGGTTCATGAGTCTGTCAGTCCATACCTTTTTTTTTTTTTACCATACAGCAAACTCTGCAAGTTTCTTAGCACAACAAGTTGCAGCTAATGTGTTTTAGATGTGGAAATCACAGGGGAAAATCATTTTTTGAAGCAAGGAGGGATTAAAAAAAGAGAGCACAGTGACAACAGAGCCGGGATTTCACAGCACACTGAAAGCAGCAGATCTCTGTATTTATGTAGGGGAGCAAGGAGCCACACTCAGTACAATTTTTTTTCCTGTTTATTTACATGAAGAACAAAGAGAGGGTTACAGATTTATGGAGATCACAGTGCAGAAGTGCCGCAGTTGAAAATAATCCATCCAATCCTCCTGGAGAATGAGAGCAGGTGAGACTCTGATGCCCTGTGGACTGCATTACCATTTTCCTCCCTGATAGAGGACTTTTAAATCTGAAATAAAACATTTGCAATTGCTTTTGTAGGTGCTTTTGTTCCAGCAACAATCTATCCATGTGTATGCAATAAGCTGATTAATAAATATCTTATTTGCATGTCTATTAGACAGAGTGATTAACAGGATAAATTAAATTAAACAACAGATTAATCTAATGAACTTTTTTGTGCAAAGCTTGTGTAAAAGTTGTAAAGCAATTAAAGTGGTTCACTCAGGTCCCTTAAACAACTTTAATTCTGTGTTTGGTGTTGTGGGTTCAGGCAAGCAAACAAGTGTGCGACTGATTAAGTGCCATATTGTATACTGGGTACAGTATGCCGAGGTATACTGACGCAGATCTGGCAGCTCATGCAGCTCATGCAGCCCTCTGACCTATTTGTATTTGTATTTATTTATTTATTGTCATTGTCAGAGAACAATGAAATTGCATTTGGGGCTTCCATACAACCCGTAAATAAAATAATGAAGAAAATAATAAATACCCCTTAAAACCCAAGTGTAAATATTTAACCCAGTGTGACTCCAGTGCAATAAGACAATCCTTAGCAACAACATGAGAACATGACAAGTAAGTTCAGTGCTATTAAGAAGTTGGATATGGTTATTGTCTGTGAGAGGGGGGCAGAGAGTTCAGGAGCCTCACAGCCTGTGGATACAGGCTGTTGGCCAGTCTGGATGTTCTGGCCTGTATAGACCTGTACCTTCTCCCTGAGGGCAGCAGGTGGAAAAGGTGGCGCGCAGGGTGATGTTGGTCCCGCAGAATACTGTGCACCCGTCTCAGACAGCAAGTGGGGAAGATATTACTAATCTCTGGCAGACTTATTCCAATAATTCTGCCAGCTTCTTTCACCACCCGCTGGAGTGCTTGCTGATCGGCCTTGGTGCAGCTGGGGAACCACACTAGAAATCCATACGTCAGAACGCTGCTGATGGCACAGTTGTAGAAGTTCAACGTCAGAGATCTGGGAATGTGTGCGCTCCGCAGTCTCCTCAGGTAGTAGAGGCGCTGTTGGGCTTTCCGTGCAACTGAGGTGATATGGTTGCCCCAGGACAGGTCCTCGGTCACAGTTACCCCCAAGAATTTAAAACTGCTCACCCTCTCCACCGCCTCACTGCCGATGAAGAGAGGCAGATGGTTGTTATGACCCTTCCTCCGGAAATCTACAATGATCTCCTTGGTCTTTTTGGTGTTTAAGACCAAGTTATTGTCGTGGCACCATGACTCTAGTTGTTGCACCTCTGTCCTGTATTTAATGTTATTTCAAGTATTACAGGGATGAGTGTCACCTTTCAAATGTATCTGCTCTGATCTATGTGTGTAGTCTGCATTTAACTGATTATTGCAAACAAATGAGCAAATTCATTACCACCAAACAGGAAATAACTATGCCAATGAAAGAGCTTCATACTATAGCTCAACACTATGGAACTGAGTGTTTTGTTAACAAGGTGTGTCTTCTGGAACCAACCAGTGTAGAACAACTTGAAACCCAACATCAATTATTCACCTTAATAGTGAATTTCATTATTTAATCTCTGACAGTAATGTGTTCAGACACCTGCTGAGTTCAATATTGACTCTCCTTTTATCGTGTTTCTATTCTGAGACTCTTGAAGAAAATATTTCAACTGCTATTAAAACCAACATGGTCTTTCATTCATAATTTGAATACATCAGCGTACGAATAAAAAAGACTTTTATAACCTTTCATGAACATAAAATTAAATAAAACTGAAACTAGAATTAGAAATATGAACTGTAAATTTGCAGATTCTGGTGAAATTGCGGTGTTACTGCCATAAGCTGCGACTTGCTTTCAGGAGTCAGCTAAAAGCACAGACGGAAGTTTTACATAATAATAGTCCTGTAAGCGACCTGATGGTGGTGCTGCGATGAAAGTGGGTTGGATTGGATTGGAAAGTGCATGTATGACAGCATTAAAGAGTTAACTGTTAAGAATGGGACCGTCTTTGTTAGCCTTTATTGAATTCGAGTAGCAGAAATTTGCATCAAGCAATACTTGTTATTGTACTTTGGCAAACCTTAAATTTGGCATGGATGTAAAGACTAGCCAGACTACTGATAAAACTTTAAGCTCAAGAGTTATAGGCATTTCACTTGATTTGGCATGATATCTCAAATCAAAGAAATGTGCAAGATGTGCAGAGAAGACTGGATTCAATATAAAGACCGCCACTGCTGTTTCATAGTTGGTTACAAACTAACATGAGCTCATAAAGTTTGACATTTTGAGCAATCATGGTTTTAGCGTGTTGGAATAGTGGCAACTGAAACTCACTGGACACTTCATTGGATACACCTTGCTAGTGCTAAGTTTGAGCCCTTCTCTCTTTGGAAGTACCTTAATTTTTCATATCTAAAAAATTCCTCTCAGGTTTTGGTCTAAATTGGTATGATGGTATCACACAGGTGCTGCAAATTTGTGGGCATCAAATCTATGATGTGAATTTCATGTTCCACCACATCCCAAAGGAGCTCTGCTCAAACTGGATCATTTTTGTGCCAAGAAAATATTCTCCACTCCATTACACCATAACTACCACTAAGTGTTGGTAGAAGGCAGGATGGATCCTTGTTTTTCTTGTTGTTTACACCAGATTTTGAAACTCATCAGACCAGCGAGTCTGTGTTAATCTTAGCCTCTGCTTCCTGTTCTTAGGTGACAGCAGGTGTACCAGGTGTGGTCGTCTGCTGATATAGCCTGTCATCTTCAAGGTGCAACATGTTTGCATCAAGAGATGATATTCGGCATACCATGGTTGCAATGCATAGTTATTGGAGTTACAGTTTCTTTCCTTTTGCGGCTCTAAGGACCATGGTCATTCTCATCAGACATATGGCATTTTTATTTTAAGAACTTCCACTTATTGAATTGAATAGTTTCTCTTTTTTGGGTCATTCTCTGTAAACCCTAGTGATGATTTAGAGGGGAAATTTCAGTAGATTAGCAGTTTCTGAGACACTCAGACCAGGCTGTCTGGCACCAAAAACTATCCCACTGTCAAAGTCACTTAAATCACATTTTTTCCTTATTCTGATGCTTGTTTTGAACTTTAGCAGGTTGACTTGACCATGTCTACAGGCCCAAATGCATTGAGTTGCTGCCACATGACTGGCTGATTAGATATCTGTGTTTAATGAGCAGTTGAACAGGGGTACATAATAAAGTGGCAAGTCAATGTAAATAACAGGGGGCTGGGGACTGTTTATCAGCCAGTGTTTGTTACTTAATTTAATGTTAGGGGCAAAGTTCCAAAAAATCAGCAGTTTTGTTTGTAGCACTGCTACGGTTGAAAATAAGTTTTCCACACTGGCAAGGATTTGTTAGCTGATTACAGAATAACAGAACAAAGGAACCAAATTCAAACATGTCAAGTGTATGAAAACAGTTAAACCAGCTCTGACCTAAAAGGCAGCAAATGAATCTTAAATGTACTATTTAGAATGAAAAATGTCGATTAGAAGAAGAGTAATACGAAATGTGTCGCCAATGATGTAATACATGCAATGCTGCATTACTTGCATAAAGCGCTAAATTGTTTTTACCTCTGCAGGTGGTCCAGCAGATTTAAAACTTAAAGCCAGTGAGGCGGTACATTTTGGAATAAATCTATTTCATGCTTCTCAATTTACTTTCTTTCTAGAAAGATGCTAAAATTGGTGAAAGGTTTTCCTCACAACAACAACACTATGAGACTGCACAATTCTATTGTATCAGATGAGGTCCTAGTGGTAATCAGCCACCATGTACTAATTGATCTGTCTAGGTCATTAATCAACTGCTGAAATTATGAATCACATAAATTCAACAAAGGTGTAAACTAAATTAAATGTTGTGGTGCTGAGTAGGGGAAAGGCTCTTTTGAAATGAACTGCAATTCAGAACTGCAAAGTGACTACACAGTTAAAAAATGTGATTAGTTATATTTATAGAAACAGGTAAGTGGAGGTTATCCATTATACACAGCAAACTATGTTAACTGAAGACAAAAAGTAACTACATTTGGATTTATGAACCCTTCTCTTTCTCCTGTTTCTTCTTCTGCTCTTCTGTTTTATTTCACTTCCTTATGCCCATCCTATTCCTTTCTTTTTCACCAACATCATTTCTCCGCTATCCTCATGTTGCTTTTTCTCACAATATCATCAATTCCAAAACCAATCATCTGATGCTGTGTCTCTCTTGCTATCTGTCTCCCATGTATAAAATCCAACTGATTCCCATCGACACTTTGTCCTCTGATCACAACATTTTTATTTCCTCCTTTATTTCCTTCTGTTTATGTTTAACTGTCCCTCCTCTCTATCTCGTATTATTTAATTCCACTGCCTTTGCCATTTTTTCATCCATTTATTTTAATCCCTTAAATCTTCTCCTCCTGTCACACCTATTCACCTCGTTCCTTTTTAAATGCACTCCTCCACTTTTCAAAATCACATTTTTCCCGTTTTTTTTTTCTGTTACTTCAACTTTTCCGCTACAACTATTTTTTTTACCTTCCACTCCATTTGCCAATTCAACTCCCATTACACCTGTCCTCCTTTTACCAACTTTTCACAGAATCCTTTACATTTCCAAATGGCGATGCGAACTGTGGAGGCTCCACAATCCCAGCTGCTCTACACCCTGCTGATGATGAATGGCTGGTGGGACATCAGCATTCTGCTCTGCCAGGAATGGAATATTAGTGACTTCCTTTTCCTCATCAAGAACAACACCCGCTTTCACCTGGGCACTCTTGTCAACCTGACAACTATTGCCTTAACCTCTTCAGTATCTTCATCTGCACTATCAACCTCGGCGGTGGCATCAGGTATTGCAACCTTACCCTATTTTTCCTCTGCTGCCTCTTCTTCTTCATCATCCACTTCTTCTAAATCAGACCAGCAGCAAACTCTCCTGCGACAGCTGGGGGCCCTTAGAGAACACTCATCTACAACAGGATTGGTGACATTTGGGTGCGACATTCGCGAGGTGCGACGTTTGTGGATGCTGGTCACGCGGATGACGCTTCCAGAGTTTCACTGGGTCTTGGGGGACAGCCAGAATGTGGCTGAGCTGAGAACAGAAGGGTTACCCCTGGGGTTACTGGCCCATGGGGTCATGGGATCCCCTTCTCTGGATCACTACGTCCATGACTCATTAGAACTCGGGGCGCGTGCCGTGGGCAGTGCTGCCCAGGATAATCCTGCCTTGGCACTCATACCAGGGACTACCAATTGTATGGATAAACAACAGAGCAATGGGAGCTCGGGGGAATACTTGGCAAGGTAGGGAATATACAGATACAAAGTTTCATGCAATGTCCTCAAACTCTAATAAGGCATTCTCTAAGCACGACTCACTTCCATAGGGTGCAGTTATTATTCTGCTACTGTATCGGGGGGAAGAACAGTCAGTTTTGTTTTGTTTTTTTATATTTGCTTAGGCCGATCACAAACATTTTTGGTTGTGCAACATTTATAAAATGATGGTGGGGGTGAGTCTTCTAAAAAGTGGGTGAGAGCACGTTTCGTTGGAACATTTGCACATGGGGAAGCAAGCATTCATCATAATGACACAGCTCTGTGGAGAAATGTCTGGCTGTGTAAGATCAGGTCTTTGTAGGTCTTATAGTCATTTGAAAGAACCTAGCAGGCCAGCCGTACTGCATCCAAATCTGGATCAGAACTTGCCACTTTCAGTGTGTAGGCTGTGAGGACACATGTTGTGTTCTGTAATAAAGGAAATTTTGAAAATGGTTAGAGGATAGTGGGAAACAGATTGCCACCATAGCATAGTGGATCAGTGTAAGGCTTACTATATACATGCAGTTTGCAAACCAGACAAACCTAAAAAACGTTGTGATAATTATGCCCCACAAAATGATACGTCAGCAGCTTAACTTGATGGATTTCTGTATAGATGTTTTTTATGTTTCTTCCCTTGCAATAACAGAAAAAAATGATGTGTGTCAGTTCAATGTTCATGTAAAATCACCCAGGTACCACTTTACTATCTTACCAACATACAGAGGTATTCTGCCCATAGCACTAGTAAACCAAAAACATTGTCTCTTGCCTTTTTCAAACATGCAAAAAATGAATTCATTGGCAAAAATTAAAAGTTACCCAGTACCAGCCAAACATATTAAATGTGACACAGAAGACAAAATATGCACATACACTGATCTGCTTCTGTTTGGGTTACCACTGCAGCACCACATTCAGTGAATATAACACGCTTGAGAGGTTGATAGAACTTTTGTGATAATCCAGTTAAGTAAACTTAGTCATTCAGGATTGCTGAGTTCTTATGGAGTCCATGATTGACAGCTAGTGCTCCACTAATTTGTCAGAACAGCAACTATGCTTGCAAAATGCATGGTATCATCTGGAACAGTAATGATTATGCTCTCTCAGTATGACTGAGTGACTGATATAGCTTGCAGCCGCTGGCTCAGGGCAGTTTGCCAAATTACTGGAGCAGTGGCGATGCCAAAGATCAACTTACTGTATTCATATAGACTCTTGTGAGTATGATGGTTGTTATATTTTCCTTTATAGATATAGATAGGGCCCAAGCAAGGTAATCTCTTAAAAACTCTCACTGTGCTAAAGAATCACAAGTGTCATCTTTGCGTGGGATTGGATATTGGTCTATATGTATTATGGGATTCAGTGACAAATAAGTTCTTTGCCTGTTGTCTTTTTTCCAAAAGATACTGTTAGCATTGCCCAGTCACATAAGTTCTTTACAGCTAATATTCCTTGGTGTACCGAATACTGAAACACTGCTTAGATTTTAAGCCATATACAACATGACTTGCCTGTGAAACCTCGGTCTTGCGCTCTCTTCAAGCTCAGTCAATCCCCTCCCTCAACACTGAATCTCTATACAGTATTTCTGACACAACTTTAATTCTGTTTGGCGCATGGCCTTTATCTCATGCCAAAGAGACATATATGTGCCCATATTTCATCTTTAACTTCAGCTTTTGCAGTATTGTGATTCTCGCTCCTGTGTAAGTTATCAATCCCACATTTGTATATTTCAGGTTGAGTTTAGGAACATTTTCCTGGATGTGAGCACTGACCCACTGGCTAGTTTCATCTTTCATGGCACTCTGTAAACATTAGGTGTCAGCCATATAACTTCTGTCACTGACAAATCATCCTCATTTGAGTCTCTCATGTTACCTCTGTACCTTCTTGTCCTTGGTTCTTGTTTTCTTTGTCTGTCTTTAATTTACATATTTTCTCTATGTACCCTCTTTTATTGCCCATCCTGCAACTTTTATCCTTAAACCAGAAATCTGCAGGATGGTGCAACATTTTAACACTTCTTAATCAAGTCTGAGTTTTGTGTACTACGTTATGTGTGCTGTGTTTTCCATAAACATGGAAATTTCCAAATTGCAAGTCAATGTTAGTCTATATTCTGTCAAAAGCCATTTCAGATTGGCCTCATTGCTCAGTCCACACACAAGCCTGTTCCTTAGTGCGTACTCCCCGACATGGCAATGCTCTCCTAATCTATGAAGCTCTGCCATATACTCCAATATGAATTCAATATTTGACTCATTCCTTTTGTAAAACCTGAACCATTCAGCTATCGCCAGAGGTGTTAGATTTAAAAGCCTCTTTAGTACGTCTGAGATCTCATCAAAAGTTTTGTAAGCCAGTTTGCTAGCAGGGCAAGTTGGAAGTTTTAGTGCCCAACTTTTTAAACAAAAGATGATCATCTATCCATATGGCCCATACTCCCAGACATTTTTAGTTAGTTTTGTTTCCTTTTCACAGTGTAATATCACTACTAGTCCTAGTCTAGTCTTTGTTCAACACTTTCAACACTCACATCCCCTTCTCCAGCTAGCTTTCCCATCATGATGCTATTTTGCTCATCTGTTGCAAGGTAGGGGTGTGTTTTTCTTATCTTTGTCTCATATATTTACAGCAGTCATCAATGGATTAAACTACAAGATACAGTTTACATGCCTTAAATCTTAATCATGCAGGTACAACTCTGCTGACTCACTCATTCTGTTAAATAGGTGTGGTAGGTATGGTACTATTTGCACTTTTTTCAAATATGTAAACAATGTGTCCTTCCTCTTACTAGATAGCAATAGAGTTACGTATAAAGGAGTGGTTATGCATATTTTAGACCATATTGTGCAAAATAGGTTATATTATATATTCAGCAGAATATTTTGCATTCTTTGTATTACAGTAAATATGTTAGTGTTTCAGGGCTCTTCTTTCTGTTATTAATTAATGCACCAATTTGGTGGAGCTTAGGCTTCATTAAATTAAATATACATTTTAAACAGTAAGACTTACACAGTACCAAATCTGGGTTCTCTCCACCCAACAATTAATCAATAATATCCAAATGTACAGTGTATACATTACTCTACTTCTTTCATATCTTTCAAATGTTTACTCGAGCAGTAACAAATAATTCATACACACCTACACCGTCTTGCATTTGCACAGCATGTAGTTTATGGGGATGCACACTGTAGTACAGTCAATAACTGCAGCACTGTGGTAAAATACTAATGTGTAATGAATTGCATTTAACAGCACTGTAATCTGCAGCTGCTCCACTCTAGAGATGTAAGTGACAGTGGATGTGTGATCACCCACCGCTGCATTACAAGTACTGTTTGACCTTTCCTGCTAAGATTCTCCTCAAAACACTCGAATCAGCAGAATGAATATCCAGTGAAGGTAATTATTAAACATGGTGAGCTCAGAGGTCCTGAAGGTCCTTCCATTGCTTTACTTTATTTAAAAAAGTGTGTTGATTCATTTGTCAGTGTTTTACATATTGCAGAAACACTTGCCAAATAGGACCTTTTGCCCAGTGAGAGTCCTCGTGCAGTCTTTGACCCCATGAAAACAGGGAGAAACTACTTGATGAGGTTTAGTTTCCTTTGTATGTGATAGTGGTTCTAATTCAAGCTGTTTCACACATGAGTGATTTGGAAAAGTCAGTCGCACACCTGCCTCGGGAAAATCTGAAAGTATTGGAAAGACTTATATGGAGAGGCTAGAGAAAAAAGAGAAAAAAAGCAAAGATGAATGTTTGTAAGCAACCTGCAAAGATGAAAAAAAAAAAGTTTTTCTCCCCAAATCGTTCGTTTCAGTATTTCTAAAGCTCTGAGACTGTTTGGGCTGTCTGATCACATTCATGCTAAAGGGATTAAAAGATACGGAGAGTGGACTTATATTGAGTCAGGGTCATCATCATCTGTTACCATTACATTTTTTTTCCACACTATGAAACATATTACTGTGTGGAGTCTAACAATTGCATTAGTTTCGCTTTTCTTTTCTTTTTGAAATCATTTGTAATCTTATTGTGGAGGCAGAGTGCTTTAGTGGCCAGATAAACTGACCCATCTAATCTTTTTTTTTTCTTTTTTTAAAAACAACACTGGCTGTGGTAGCTGGAAATAATAGATGAGAAACCTAGAAGGCACAAAGAGGTTAGAGCAGCCAATCAGCAATCTTAAGGGTGTTGGTCCCCTGAATCCCTGTGCAGATGTGTGTAAATGTCATTACATCTTTGTGTATGGTAAACAGACTAGTACTTGCATACCATTTTATAATCTAATTGACCAATCAGAGTTAACTCTGTATGCAGCCCACTGAATTGATTTAAACATAATTTTTTCTTGAAAGTTAAATGAATATATCTGAAACATGCACTATGTTATATTATGTACATTTTTGTTATGTTATGTTTTTAGCCCATTTAAACAACAGAGGCTAACCGAAGGTAGTGCCTGCTGGAGTAGCTGAGGCTTGAACCATTGACCTTCCTGTTAGTAGATGACCAACTCTTCCTACTGCCCCTTGTATGACCACTTACAGAAATCTGCATATGAAAAAAACATACTAAACTAGTATTGAGAACACAGATCTATATTAGACTATATGTAGTAGCTGTATTTTCACAAGCTGAAGAACATCAGATACTGAACTAATCGAAATATATTTATTTTCGATAAGAGTTTTCAGGGTAGAATTTATATACACACAGAGGCAAACTCACTCCAAACCTTAAAAACAAAACCTGTCCAGTTTTGGGTTTTTTGTGTGTCTATCAAAATACATATAGCAAAGCCATGCTCAAAACAAACTATAAATAAACATGAATAGGATTCCTCTCACCAGGGGAAAGCAAATGTTCTCTTTAGATAAGGGGCTTGGTTTCCTGTTGTTGTTAGACTGATCATTCAGTGAAGTCCAACTAGGGCTGTGCGATATGACCAAAATAT